GCCAACTCCGAAATATCAGAACGTCTAACTTTGTCTAGAGTCGAGCGGGAAATTGTGGGAAGAAAGTTATCGCGTTTAATCAACTCTCGTGATCCACGGACTTATTAATTCTTGCTGAAACTCGTTTCTTGTTTCTCTCAAATCTGATATCTCCGGAATCGAACGGTGGTTCGGGATTAAAAGATTTGTTTCGTTTCGAGTGGATCACATCTCGTTTAATGAAATTAAGAATCTCTCTTCTCTTGCTTCAAATGTTTCACATTTTCTTCTCTTTTCAAAATTCTACCCGGAATGAAATTTCATGCAAAATAGTGGAAGAGATTATCTTTCTAAATAAAGAACAATTCTTTTGTAAGGTATTTTTAATTAAAATTTAAAAGAAGGAAAAAAGGGAAATTCACATATCTTTTGAAATTTCAAATGAAATTCTAGTAAATTATATTTTTAAATAATCGATAATTATTCGTGTTTAATTTTCAATTGATAATTCTTAATTGAAAAATTTTCAGGAGATTGGCATTTTTAAATAATCGTAATAAAGAAATACGAAGGCTTATATAAAATTTTTCCAAAATTCTTTGAATTAAAATTTAAGTAAAATTACATATGTTTATTTTCTCTCTTCTCTTTTTCGAGAAAAATCTCCAATTGCGGACGATCATCTTTTTAAATAACGAACATTTCTCTTCGAAAAGTTTTTCAATTTAAATTTCAAGCGAATCATAAAATCATAAAAGATTATTCCGTGAAAAAAAAAAAAAGAAGAACCTTAAAAACCTTTTTTAAAAATTTTTCGAAAGTTCAAGTGAGATTCTAGGTTATCTACTTTTATGTAATAGACGAGTTATTTCTTTTTCACAGTCTCGTCCATTGAAATCTCGTGCGAAATTCGAAAAAGAAAAGAAAATAAAATAATAAAACAAGATAAAATGGTCGAGAATGAACAGATAATTTAATTGAAATTTTCCTGGTTGAAAAAGGAAAATTAAAAAATTTCAAAATCTCCTGTATGGCTGCGATGTGAGTAAAAATCATATCACTGCAAAATGACTGATGTACAATTTCCAAGTGCAAACAAACCGACAAAGTTTCCAAGAGCAAATAAGTAACTAATGCGTTTTATTGATCCCAAGTTCGCTTCAGCGCGAAAGTAAATTCACGAAACAGTCGTATTGGAAAAACATATACGTAAAGTTTCGAAACTGGTGACCAATAAACCGACGCAGGGCTTTCAAACGATGAACCTAATTTCCTAAGTGTAAAACGCTTAAATTCGTTAACTTTATATTACTCCGTTTCCGAATAATTGACGACATTTAATTTCCAGATCAGAATTCTCTCCAGACGAAGAAATCTATCGAATCTATCATTATAAAAGTTCAAATTGTTTCTCGTCCAAATATTTATACGCATATTGTTTGAACATTACTTTTCGAATATATTTTCGATCACGATAAAAATCTGTACTCGAAAATTCATTCATTCTGTAGTAAATCCATAACACGACACGATATAAAGATATATATATATATATATATTTTTTAAAAAAAACCAGGATCCAGCTGTATTCTCGACAATGAGAAATCCGCACAACATTTGTTAACCGTTCTTAATTGCCAATTACCAAGTTCGTAACGAGATGGCCGCGAAATCAATCGAAATTCTCTCAAATTCTAAATTCCAAGCGATCGCGATCAAAATTCCTTAGAAATTCGATATAATAATTCTAAACGATTTCTTCAACAAGTTGTTTAACAAAATTCTCAAAGATCGGATTGCCATTACTTATTCATCATACCAATCGTGTGATTAAAAATTCTGGAGCCACGTTAAAAACATGATCGTATTTAAAGGAAAATCGTGTGGTTCGATTATTAAAATTCAAAGAACAACACCAATTTCCAAAATTCCTAGTTATAATTTTCTTCTTCCTTTTTTTTTTAATTCTTAACTCTAGCCCGGATTGTTGGAGCGCGATTTTTCGTTACACTCGTGGCGAGGGGTGAGATTTTTTTAATTAAATTAAATTAGCGTCCCGGGGTTTAGCCGAGGGATGGGCGGCCGTTTGCACAACGATACCTGGGAGGGAAAAAATTTCGGATCCTAAAATTTTCTACCCGCGGCCGCACAATGCGCGGTGTTACGACGGTGGAGTAGGGAGAATTCGCGTGCTCGAAAATTGAATTTACAAACGAGGGAATAAGCGAGCCATTCAACAACGATGTCGTTGTTTACGCAGCAACGATTTTACAAACAGGCGTGCACAGAATTAAAAGTGTGCGTAACAATTTTTTGTCGTCACGGGTGGGAAACGAGATATTCTCGTCCTCAGGGAAGAAGCGAGAAAATGAACTGTCAATTTGCTTTCTGTTATGCGGGAAGTGAGATATTATCGGCTTTAGGAGATATTTTGTTGATAATTTGTTGATAGAGGTCACATAAAGGTCGACTTTGTTTTCTTTTTTTCTTTCCAATGCATTAATCAAGGCCACTGAAGGTCAACTTATTCGGTTACATACAAATGTAACGAATATTCTTTTGTGTTTGTGAAATTTTTTTCTTCTTCTTGATAAGAAGAAAGATATTAATTTGTATTTTTTTTTTTCAATCCAAGATCTTCAAAAATTTCTTTTTTAATTTCCCTAAAGATTTGTTGGTTTTCTTGAAATGTGGAATTATTCAGATTCGTTCGTGTATTTGTTCAACGATCAAAATGCAAATCACTTTCAGTTTATATATATTCTCACTAGCGTCTCGCAAATTACACTTTCATGCGGTATATAACAATGTCCAGTTGGTTAAAACGGGTGGCCACACAAAGGGCCGCCGATATTTTGAATAAAATAACACAAATTCCTTTGTATTTTAATAAAAGCGCTCGTGGAACACGTGGTGAAAATTACTCGCGTCAAATATTATTTAAATCGATACCTTTCGTCAAATTCAATTCAACTCGCGTTTCCTGTTTCCCGATCACATATTTCACGGCGAGTTGGCAATATTCGCTCCATTTAATTGGACAAGAAAGAAAGAGGAATGAATTAACTTTCAAAAAGGTGTACGTTGGAATAAAATCGGAAGAGAAATGATTCGTTTATAGAGATATGAACCGTGTTGCTTTATTTATTAGCCTTTCCAAACTTGCGGCCACGATTTTTCTCTATTTTCTGAGAATTTAAGAAAATAATGCATATCGCGTAACATAAAAGATCGTTTTTATGGAAATGAAAATTGCTTTGATAAAAAGAGGGGGAAGGATCACGGTACAATCCTATGTTTAGGACGTAATTATTTGCAATTTATAAGCAATGCAAATTTTAACATGAAACAATTATACATCATACATCCATTATCTCTTCTACTATTTGAAAAATTATGCGAGCAACGAGGAATTCAGCCGTTCGTTTTGGTTAATCGTATAAATGGAATAGCGGAGATTTGTATATACGCATAATCGGAATTTGTGTTCAGCGGTTCAGAAAACGTATAAAATTTGAATTGCGTTAATTTTCGTTTCGAGTAAATTTTTTACATTTCAACAAAATTTTCCTCGTTCCCTCGATTATCGCGGATACGAATAATCCAATTTGATTAATTTCTAAAATAAGACGAAACATGTGTAAAGCCAAGCTTTATGAATTTCAATTGAGTTTAAATTTTTGAGAAAAAATTTTTATTGCAATCTCTTTGTATCGTGAAAATATCAAACAAAATATAAAATTAATAAAAGTTGAATTGATTAACGTATTCTTACAGTGGACATACGTATATATGTATACATCTTATTATTTAATTTCAAAATATTCATCAATTTTTACGATCAATGTTACGCCTTTAAATTTCTTCGATGACAATTTTCAATTATTTATCGGAGACAAACAGTTCCTATTCTTCGAAATGATATCTCACGTATCAATTTTTCATATACACGTTTCACGACATCGTAAACGCGATATTGAAAGTTTAGATCCGATAATAAAAATGAAAAATCTATAATTACCGAGGTATAATACCAATGATCAGTATAAAGTAATTGAAAGGTGTAATAGGGACACTATTGAAACAGTCATATATTTCTGTTAATTACGTTCTACGTTCTACGATGAATTCTATCGATTCTTCGACGATTCTTCTAACCATAAAAACCTTTTAATATCTTTCCTCGCTGCTAATTAGCATAAGTAACACACTTTTACAACGTGTCTATAGAAAAGACGAAAAGGCGCGATCAAAAAAAAAAAAATACCTTTAATCAAAACTTCATTTTTCCGCGAATCGAAGAAGGTTGCGGAATCAAATATTTCAAACCGTGACAACCGTGGTGGAATCGATGTGAAAAAAAGATGATCGCCGATAAAATTTACTTCAATTCGTGCGCCACTGAAAAATCTATACCGTTCGTTTAAAAAAAGAGTCTTATCGAAGATTTTTTAACCTCTTTTTAAATCAACGTGTTGGACCAATCTTCGAAAAGTCTCGTTACAAATCGTATATTTTCTTGATTAGAGATCGAACAAAACACCCTGCTAATCCTTTTTTTCTTTTCTGCACTATCTGAAAGTGGAAAGAGAGTGAAAATATAAAGTAATGAAACTCGAATTTAAACTCGTTTTTTCGTGAACTTGATCGAAGTTGCAATTGGCTTTGCTAGGATTTTTGATTTGTGAGATTGCGTATCAGTCAAATAAAACGATTCTCGATTTGACACGGCGAACAGAAGAGGAATAAAATGTGGACAGTTTAAAAATTTTGCAAAATTGATATTGAAAAGATAGTAATAAATTTGAATAGTAAGAAAGAAATGGAAAAAAAAAAAAAAATGCTTATCATCCAATGGATAACGATCAATGAAATAGAAGAATATGACTTTGACTTATATTATGATACCAAATGATAAACCAAAACAAAAAGAGAAAGAAAGAAAAAAAAAAAGAAACGATTAAATATTTTAATATTTTAAATATATCGATTAATTCGTTCGTATAAAATTGTGATTTCTATTAATTCATTCGCTCGATCATTCATTCTTTCACAATTTTATTGGGCGTTTTAATCGTATTGTTTTCCATCCCATTATTGCGGGTAATGAAATCAGACATTTTAATTGAATTTTTTACTGTTACAGCTTTAGAGATTGTACACAAAGGTATCATGTCACGTGCGGCTTATCTTGGCCACTTACGTTACGTTCTAAATATAACAAAGTATTCCAAACAGTGGCAATTGAGACATACAACAAAATCATTCTTGCCATGATTATAAATTATTCTAAATTATTATTATATTATTCTTATTGCTCCCTTATTACTCCTCCGCTTCCACGTAATTATCAATCTCTCTAACGCGTGCTCCAAAATAATTCGATAAATCGTGCGAAGCAATAAGAGGCAAGACTGCTAATAAACTCCGTTCCTATAAAAGAAGGGAACGTACGCATTGAATCGCTCAATCACAGAAGGTGTACAGCAGTGCTCGGACAATCGTTTGATAAATTGTACGTACCGCAGAAGATGCATACACGTATACACTATTCTTCTAAAATTCTTGCTTTCAAATTCTATGTCTCTGTATTCTCTATCTTCGCCCTTTTCTAATAACCGAATATTCTAATAAATATATCTTTCTCTTTCCACGAAACCAATTATATGTCTCCGTATACGAATCGATCGAATTTAATATATAAATTCGTTGTTTCGTCATTCTTTTCTTTCTTTTTTTCAGAGATATTATCTCGAAAACAATATGCAGAGCGATAAAATCATATTAATTGCGACATTAATCGCAATTCTGTGCTTGGAAGGTCATTTAATCGTGGGTGAATATTGCTACGCTGACGATCCACATCCTTACTTGTTGTTCGGTATCAGAACAGCGTATAAGAATGTTCGGGGCACGATAACCGATTCCATGATACCAAGTAGGTAACAAAATTATTGTGAATCATCTTATTTTCTTATTTTATCCCGCCCCTCCCCCTTCTTTTTTCATTCCATTTCGTTTCCAGACTGCGAGCCATTGCAGATTTGGATGTTGTTGAAGCACGGAAGCATATCACCGCCTAAATATTGGAGCATGAGGCTGAAAGATGACCATAATATGGAGATTATTAAACGTGACCTCGCGCACAGCAAAGGTTCGAGCGTGTGTAACATGATCGATTTACACGATTTACACGATTAATCCGTTGAACCTATGTTTATCTATAACAGCGGGACGAATGTGTCGAAAGGATTACGAAAGGATCAAACATTGGAATAATTACGAATACATCGATAAAAAGAAGATATGGATATTGTCGAAGGAGGGAGAATTGGGAATGATGCGGCTTGGCCAACGATTGAAGAGCTATTTCCCGGAGCTGATCCAATGCCGCCCGGTCAACACCTTGAAGAAGCAGTATTATGTAAATCTTTAATCAACCATCCATCCAAATTTTTCCATCCAATCAGTAATATTCGCTATACGATTTCCTCAGTTCAGGGCGATGAACGCTCAACGATCGATAGCAAGCATGAGATCCTTGATCAAAGGCCTTTTCGGTAACATAAATTTCGACAACGTGGACATACGGAACACGTCCCACGATAAAATATTGCAGGTTTCTATCCGATGTATAATTATATCGCGTCGTAAGTTAGTTAGTTAAACGAACGTTCATATATACGTTGTAAGTGTACAATTTCCAGTACCATCTGACACGAAAAGAATTTTTCGACTATTACAACACGAGGGATCTGTTCGTGTTCAACGATGAATTTCGTAAACTGATCAACGGCATTCGTCGGCGATACGACTTGTCCAGCGATCCTGCCCACTTCATTTACGCATTCGGTAACGAAATCAATCTCATCTCTTTTATACTCGAGCATTCAACTCGAATTTATTTCCCAACTCAGACCAACTCCTCGATGCGAACTACGTTTGCATGCGCGAGACGTCTTGGTATCCGAACCGAAAGTCCCCGTGGTGCGCCATGTTCACCAAGGAAGAGCTAAAATTCTTCGCCATATACATCGATCGATATCTATATCGGTCACCCCCATACTTTCAAAAACACATGCAGACCGCGTGCCCAATTCTGAAGGACTTGTACATACACTTCACGTGAGTATTAACCGAATAATTTTAAACGGAACGTATTCCAGTATAACTTATTCGGCATATTTGGAAAGATGTATGACGTATGTTAATTAATTGTTGATTATCAATTTTCAGGAATTTGGAAAAGGGGAACGTGCACGAAGAGCCGAAGGGTATATTCTACTTCGGCGATTTCCACTCGTTGATGTTTTTCTACAGTTTATTGGGACACCTGGACGGCGACGCGCCTATGCCGCTTAATTTCACCCTTCATGACTTGAGAAACAGAAAATACGATCTGAGCTATCTGATACCGTACAACGGGAACGTGGCGGCCATCTTTTACAAGTATGCTTTACAAGGATAATTTTAATACTTTTTGCTCCCCCAACAATGGCGATCTATCTCACGTGGCGATAATCATTTTCAGATGCAGCGACGGGTTCAAGGTGAAACTGTACTCGAACGAGAAACCACTCAATTACAAAGGATGCCCTCACGGTACGTGCGAGTGGGGCTATTTCAAGAAGGTATTGAGGAACATCGCGCTCAAGTGTAATGTAGATATATGCAACTTACCTTAAATTTTACTTTGACGAGTTGTTGAGTAAGTAAAAAAAAAAAAAAGATATGTAAAAGATTCGCCACAAAAATATTTGGACAGGTATACGACAGGGTCACGCGTTGTAACGCAAATTTTCGTCACGTTTATTAACTTCATAGAATCATTGCAATTTTTTCTCACACTTTTCAAACTTAACGGTATAATATTGTACGACGATATATTTTATTTATATATATATATGTATATTTAATTCGACTTATAATTTTCCAACAACGACCTGTCAAATTGCATTGGATCGACGATTCAAATTCCAAAATGATTACTGCTACGATTTTACTAAATGTACGTTGAAAGCGACGAAAACTTGGCAATCTTGTTGTTCCTTGCCTAAATGAACAACTTGATTTAACGCTGCTCACAATAGATATATATATGTATATATATGTGTGTGTATATATATATATTTGTTGCAATGAATGATATCTAAAGTGAGTTGAAACATTGATATTTGAATAATTTTAGTGACGATTAGTATTTTAATTGAATCGATCGAAAATATAATTTTAAAATTGGATCAGGATGGAATTTCTTCAAAATTATCATTAATTCGGAAATACAATACTCAACGAAATAAAAGAAACGAAATAAATTGTAATGGAAAAATTGTCGATCTTTGAACTCTTGTAACTTTGTGATAAAAAGTCGTAGAGCATTTTGTCTTGCCTGATTTTAAAAAAAGCGTCAAGCGTTCTTCGATTGTTATTCCTTCCGATAAGCCATCTATCAAGTTTTCATTCCACTGTGGAAAAATGAAGAAAGTGAAAACGTACTTTTCTTCTTCAAAATTTTTACAAATTCAAACGTTTCTACGGACATTAAACAAGTTCTTTCAAGACTTGAAATCCACCAGTTTGAAGATTGGAATTTACAAATTGATGTACGAATTTTGAACGAAAGATATCCCATCCACGTTACAAGTTGAATCAAAATACATCACGAGGAGATCGCACGAGAGAAAGTTAATCGCAACAACTCGAATTTCATTCCCTCAATAATTTCCAAATATCATTAACAATAATTTATTATTTTATTGTGCAAAAAATTTAACAACAATTATTCGAAAAACGTAATAGTAATGCTTCAGTTTCATAAGCTACATTTTGCGCGCCAAATCGTGACGTCACGTTGGAGGCATGTCACGTGACACGATGCGACGCTTCGTATTGGTGGAAACTTGACCACGTGACATACCACGTCTATATGGTGGGGGACAATGTGACGTTATATATTCTGCTCCTGATTCGTCACAGGGGAATCGAGTTTTAACAGCAGAGGGAGTAGCGTGTAACATCGATCCAACAATTTCGTATCGTTGTCGATGATGCATCGTTAATTTACACTTTTTTCTTTTTTTTGTGACACGAGGGGTTCATCCTTGTCGATAATTTATTATTCCAGGAAATTAGGAATAGATGGCGCTGACGATAACATTTAGTCATGAACGCATTGAGAATCTCTCTCGTTTCGTTCCTCGTGGCAACGCGACAACTTTCGCTTTCTAAATCGCCGGGATTGTAAACATCTGCAGCGAGAACAGCGATTTTTAGCAGGGATTGAGTCACCGTTGCATAATGGCGCCGATTATGCTGCGTTTCTTACGCGTGAAAAAGTCAGGTCGCAAACGGCTTGGAGCACTGTGCAATTGATCAGAATCCGTGAAATAGGCGTTTTCATCAAAGGTGCAGGAGAGCTTTAACGACTGTTCAATTATTTTATTTCACTCGCCAATAAATCGAATTCGAAATCTTATTTCAGAATTCGTTCGCCTTCGAACATGTACAGTTGAGAATCGGTTCGAAAAATTTAAAGGTTTAGAGAATATTTTATAGGCATATATGAAATATTGGCACGCTTGGACATTTCTTTTTTAACACTCTGTATGTGCGCAACGTAATGCTTCCTTTCTGTTCGATGAACTAAATGAAAACGATTATTTTCAAGTAAATAAAGAAAAAAAAAAAAAAACAACAAATTGACAAACAACGAAAACATTAAGCCGAGAAATTAAACGATAATTGAAACGATAATTGAATGACGAGGAAACGAAATTTTATTGCCTGAAAAACACGTTGCATAATAAATTTCCGCAAAAAATACTACCAATTTTTAACTAAATTTCAAACATCACAATATATATTTGAAATTTTTTAAATTCCATAAATAAACTAAAAATACCTTCATACTCTCTCTCTCTCTAATATAATATAACGACGAAGAAACATTTTTATCTAACGCAATAAGAAAACTAGGCGTAATTATAAAATAACAATTACACGAATGTGATCGATCAAACAACAGATTACGTTCTGACAATTGTATCGAACACCTTTCGTCAAAGGACACGAAATTAAAGCAACGGGTTTACAAAGCCCGTTTTCATTGCCCCTCGTTAAGTGTTCGTCGAAAAGAAGATTTATACCTCTATTTTCTCGCTACTTATTTCTCCCTTACTTCTTCCCTTTCTTCTTCCTGATCCCTGATCAGCTTTTGATCAACGCTCGTCACAATCGATACGTGGAAAAAAATAAGGGGACGAGAGAGAGAGAGAGAGAGAAGTCTTGAGCACGTGACGATGAAAGAGGAAGGAAATGACCGGAAAGTGGAACACCTGGACGATATCACGCGTTCTTCCGGTCAACAAGTCCTTATCACGGCTATGATATATCGAGGCTCGAAGTTTGAAACAGGTTCCCGTGAATGATTGCATCGACTAATTACTATGGTCGGTGCATAGAAACTGGCAGGAACAGTATTTCTGTTGCGGAATCGATTCTATTAAATTATATAATAACCGGTTCATTCGATCCTAAGTAAAGGATCATGCGATCTTTTACTTGACTACACAGAGTGTTTAAATAAAAATACCTTTTGGAGGATGGAAAAAGTTCGATAAGGCTTGGTTAACGAGTTACGAGCATTTTATTAACGTTGATCGCTCTGTCTCTGTTGCACCGCCGCTTTACTCTATTTCCATCTCGCTTCCCCTAACGGGAGCTTAAATTGCTTCTAATTCGTTAAATAAAAGTTAATGGACGTACGTTAATGAACGTGATTTTTCTTCGTCGTTTCGATGTTTAGAATCTAGCCTTCGTTTTTCATTTTTATAATAATTATGCACGATTAAAGTGAACTAAAGTTGAAGTGGATCGATAATGTAGGATTACGTTTTTAACGACGCGACAAGAATCGACAAGAATTTAATACTTATGTATTCATCAGATCTTGGCCCCACAGATGAACAAATTTTAGTTGAAATTCAAAGAAGATGTATCAACGAATTTAATTTTTGACTCGTTTCTGGCTTAATATCAGAATTAATAAGTTTATATATTTTCATATTTCTTTTTGATAACATCTTATTATTAAATCTTTCTTATTGAAATAAAAAATAACAGATTCTTGTTTTCAACGATATAATTGATAAATTCCATTAATAAAATTCATCACTATTTAATCACATTTAATTTGTTATTAAGCAAACATCTTCTCGAGTAAATATTTGCATAAAAATGTACAACTCGTTATATTACACGCGTAATCGTATTTTTCTTCTTTTTTTTTTTTATCTAAGAGACAATTCGTATTCCACGAACGATATGAAATTCAACGAAACTTTGTCCTCGTTTACGAGATTCCTTACGTAACAACTTCAAACCTTCAGGTGGCCAACAGGTAATAATTTCTTTGTTCAATTTCTGTAACCAGTGGTTACAAGTAATTATCCAATTCCACGGTATCTGAGCTTTCAAACGATCGAGGAGAAATCGAATGGATGAGTTGCAAAACCGTCCGATTTACCCTTGCACAACCTTGGCGTCGAAGAAAAGAAATTTAACGCAGACTTCTCCACATTACATTTTCCACCATTTTGAAACTTTTTCCAACGTAAGAGAATTAGATGGTGCGTGAAAATATGTGAACTCTGAAGGGGCAATGCTTGCTAATTGAGACTTTTTCTTTTTTTAAATTCGATAATTAAGAGAATTAGATTAAAAGAGAACGTGGTATATAAGAAATAGCAATATAAACAGTGAAAACAATGACTTCACTACGGTTGTTCCTTTTCTTTCGTTCGATAATTTCTAGGAAATTGTATATACTTTCTCGAACGTAATTAGTAGAAATGTGAAAGAGAAATATTGGGAAGTATAAGAATTTTCTTGTTGATAGTTGTTGGAAAAAATAAAAAGAATCCGAATTCGTTTGGAAATTTGAAGCAAAATAAATCTTTTTCATAAAAGAATCAAAGAGAAATATTGGACAGTTGCTAATTGTTCTCGAATTTTGCAACAATTAAAAATTTCCAATATTTGAAAAATTTCGGATACCTCATAATCTCCTTTCTTTTTTCTTTTACATCGCATTCTGTAATATCGAAATACAAAATTGCAATATTAAAGTGAGCTCGTTAGATCGACCTTGTGAACCCGTCTGGCCGAAGTCTCACGATGATAACACCTCCTGTTATCAACGACCTCATTATTTCTTACAAAAGATAGGTCAGTCGCTGTTCAATGCAATCTATCCCCACGTTTCTTATTCACAAACCATGAAAAACACGTGAAAGATTACGGTTAAGTAACGGTTAAGATACGTTTACAATTATTAACATTACAATCTGTATAATTACTTCCTTCCTTCCGACTTCAAGAACTCTTAATAAAACTCCAATAAAATTCAACGATGCCCACTTCGTTGAAATTCGGCACTTTCGAAACGAAGTTTATACATCTAGACAACATATTTAAAACTCGTAACAATTATAAACCAAAAAATTGTATCACGATCAAACCTAACCATTGCGGATATTCCCCAATTCGAATTATCAATTCCGATTCCCTTTCGACTCGATCCCACGAACGAAACACAATTTCCAGCCTCCACTTAATCCAAACTGGGCCAGCCTTCCGTTTATTTCGAGGTTGCCAACAACGGGTTTGCAAAAGCACGGCCCATCACCGCTTTCATCCCCCGGTTTAGTAAGTTGGTTC